AAAGTGTTGCACACATTCTGAGAATATTTAGCAGTATATTTATACTTTTAAATTCTCACAAAAAACACTAACAAAATCCAGTGTAAATTCGCATTGTTTGTGTTGGTCGCATCAGGTCTATGGGATGTATATTTGAGTATCGCCTGTCTGTTTGCATACCAGACTCCTATTCCTATTCGGATTTGCTTATGAATGCATTAGCTTAAAACTACCTTTCTTGAGCGGCGCGTGGGCAGGGAAAAAGTGATTTGAGTTCCGCGCTGGCTTATTGATTTTATGCAAATAACCTGGCTCGAGATTGGCAATATTCTACGATTCTCAATGGGGCTTACATGTTGATGTATGCAGGGAAAAAACAAAAAAATTCTGAAAAGGAACTGGCAAATATCTATCCTGTATGGAGTATGAATGTTTATGAGTACCTACCATTTTTCTTCACATTTTTACATGCATTTTGGTGTTGGTGGGCTAACACACACATACACACAAGAATACGGCGGTGCACACACACAGTTACACGCACGGGGGCACACACACACATGTACGCAACATATTTTTTTTGTTGTATTTTTTTTCCTTCAGCAAAACGTGTTTTGCCTCATTTTTCGCTCTTGTATATATGGCTTGTAGCTGGTTGTTGCTCTTGGTTGCAACGTTGTTGGAATTTTTCACTTATAAAAATTTGCAACGGCGACACACACAAACACACACACACACACAGAAAATACGGAGGTAAACTTGGGTATCCAGCTGCTCGAGATTCGAATAAGCTTTATTTTAAAGGATGGTATATCATCAAATTCGGTTTAACTTGGATATTATTATTACAGAAATATCCTGGAATATGCACAATCGCACCTTCACTTTTTTTGTCAACCGTTTTTGAAGACACGCGCGTTTATTTAATCCGTCTCGAAGCGAAGATATCTTGGCCTAAACCACTCGCTCAGTGGTCGCAACCGAACTGAGTGGCTTTAACTTTGAATCCAGCAGAGATTCGGCTGAGAGCTCAAGACTCAAGACTGGGAAAAGCCGTCAGGCGGGTTTTGAGACCCACCCGAGGAGTACTATGGTATACTTCTCTTGAGAGAAACGTATCTCTCAGATATTCTCGCTCTACCTACTCTACCTGTTGTATCTGCAACACATTTTTCACTTGTTGCAGTTTCGTTTTTCATTTTCTTGTTCGGCGGGGAACAGCGCTCTCAGAGTCTTCGGTTTTCATCTTGGTCTTTGGTCCAGTCCAGTCCAACGAGATTCAATAGCCACCGGCGACCCATACACAGTAACAATAAAAATTACAAGAGGGTACTTCAGTTGACTCTGCTACACTGACACAAAGTTTTGGTACCCACTGAGAAAAGTTGATCTAATTTGCAGGGCTTTAAAATACCCATTACAATCTTATGTGTCTTTAAACAAATTTAAAGTTGTACATTAAATAAAATTGATAAATATTAAATAATGATTTGTTTTTAGGGGCTTGGTTAAGATAAGGCTATCTATATATTATGCACATAATCAACCCTTATATAAAAAATGTATATATCATTTAAAATTGCCATAACCAATTTGTTGGTCTTTAAACAAATGATTGTTATAAATATTTAGTTGGTAAATATAAAACAATTATTTCAAATGTAATGGTTTTGCATAAGTTAAAGTTATGTAAACATCACTTTATCCTCGCTTATCAGACCCGACCTATAAAATTATATTGATGATATAATCCTTATTAGAATTTAATTGCAAGTTCAAATTTAGCCCCCTTTTATTTTTTTAATAAACATTAAAGCAAATTAAGCAATTAAATCACAAACCGACTTATTGATTTTATATTTCGTTAATAGAATTTAATTGCAAGTGCAAAACCAATCCCATGCAGACACAGTTTTATTAATAAAGTTTTATATGTGATTTGTACTAAAATTTTAACGAGTACTTACCATTTTCCACACTCATAAATCCGATCCTAAGTCAATATACCCATTGTTCTCCGTGGAGTAGTTGTTTTCTTTCGTTGGTTGTGCTCAGTCGTGCTCACTCGGTCCTACTACTACTAGAATCTAGAATCCAGGGATCTCTGAAGGAGGTTGGGGTTGAGTTCGAGTACGAGTACGAGTAGTACTCCTCACTGCCGTGACACAGGTTCGAAATAAAAAGAAATTCTTTAGCGGCTCTCTTCGATTCGCTCTCCCAATCGCCGAGAATCCGAGAATTCGAGAATCCCGCTCTCTGGGGACTCTTTTATTTGGTTTTCTTCCCTGGATTGCTCCCCGATCAAGACCGTTTTTTTTTTCTTGGCCAGCGCCGTAGAATTTTGTTTAGCATAGAAACTGGTTTCAAATTAAAATTATCGCTGGTCATTTTTCTTATGGTTAGTTGTCGTTTACTTTGCCGTTGTTGTTCTTGTTGTTGTTATTGCTGCTGCTGCTGCTGCTGGTGCCTCATTTTTTTGTTTTTTATTTTTTTTTTGGCTTTCTGGAATTTTGGTGTTTGGTGTTTTGTGTTTGGGACCTGCGTTTTACTTCCCTTCGTTGCCTCTGATTTTTGTTGTTTCTGGCCGATGGTGATGGTGTTGTTGCTGGTGTGAATGTGAACCTAGCTCTCGGTCTCCATCTCCGCTTCAATCTCACTCCTCCAATGCGTGCCCTAAACGTGTACACTGAGGGAAATAGGAGTATCAATCATAACAATGTTAATCAAGATGTTTTACAGCATACCTTTTTCAGGGATTATAAACCTCTAGAGTGTTCTGTGGAAAAATGTTTTTTAGTACTAAAAAAGTATAGATTTTTATTCACACAATTTAAAATGTTTTTATTATTATTAAAGTAATTGATGTTTTCATATCTATAAATTTTAATAAAGAAATATCAAACTCCTAATGGAGTCAATACTACAGAATAACCTTATAAATTAATTATAACATTGAAATAACATTTAAAAGTAAAATACCTATAAAAGGTCACACAATAAAAAATGTTTGTGAAATTATAAAAGTCATTGATGTTTTTTTACCTATACAATTTTCAAACGAAAAATCAAACATGACACTTAAAAATTTAAATTAAAAAGAAAATTATGCTTTTTAGTGTGACTTGTAATTACCAAATATTTTGTAATTAAGAAAATAATTAAACTTAGTATTTTAAGCCCCACAGTTTTTGTATTGTTCATTTTTTGGTGTTAAGCACTATTTTATTACTCATACCGTAAGCGTTAGTTAAACATTAGTGGTCCTTTAGCAATATTGTTGGTTTTCGCCCACTTTTCTCACTGCAGTAAGAACAGAGAATGAGTTTCTGTCTGGGCGCTCAATTTTGGCCTGCAGACGATTGTTGGATGCTGCCTGTCGGATGTCGCTAGCTGGCTGGCCATCTTTATTCTTATTAGGCTGGAAATTCGAATCTGGGACTGAAGGAAATTCCACGAATTCCTGACGGCACTCTACAAAAAAAAAATCTATCGATCGTAATCTGTGTGAATATTCAGGGGTTTCTGTACAGAGCCCAGGGAATAGAAATAGAAATAGGGTCGGGTAATGTGCTCTCCAATACTCCAGACCACATGGAATTGCATGGGAGTTGGGAAAATAACAAACAGCCAAAGAGGCATGGAATCGAGGGGAATTGGCAAGGCAACCTCAACAGAGTTTCGCGACTCGCTGGCTGCCTCGTAAAACTGTCACTTAGTGCAGTAAAAAGAGCATAACAAGAGTTTTGTCCGATTTTATTTCTTTATGAATGTCGTCGTCGTCGTCGACTTGGTCGTGGTCGCTGCCTAAATGCCAGGCCAAGTGCCTCGGCAACAGCAACAGCAGCAGCAGCAGCAGCAGCAGCGGCAGCAGCAGCAGCCCGGTCCGGTCGCATTCTTATCTTTTGAGAAATATTACAAAAACACGCAAAGCCCAGAGTTGCGAGCTTCAAGTCGTCCTGGCTTTGGCTTTAACGTTCTGCGGCTGCGATTGGAGCAAAAGTCCAAGAAGACCGAAAGCCACAAAGGCAAACCAATAAAAATAGCTGAGCCTACGACGACGCAACATGCTGTTGTGTTATTGCAGTTATTGTGGCTCTTTCGATTCCAGCACTAGCACCAGCACCAGCACTCTAGCATTCAAGCTCTCCGCCACTTCACCACTTCTGCCCCCCATCCAATCCAGTCGGCATCGTTCCATTTCCGACTTCTTGTGGGCGACTAAACATTTCTCCTGTTCCAGTTTAAAACAAGTAAATTTGACAATACATGGCAAAATTCTACCTAATTTAAAAAACATGTTTTCCTTTAGTGATATAATTGTCACAGAAACATTTTTTTAGGTAAAAACATTATTTCGTTTTATATTTTTTTAAATTCATAATTTGGCGCGTTTTATTTTCAGTGCTGCAAAATGGACCAATCATAGTGCTGTAAAATGTCTAAATATTATATGTATGGTACCCCTCATTTCGTACCTGTACCTATATTCAATTTTTTTATTTGAAATTACAACATTATGGGAGACTCTTTTAATTGGCAGGAAGAACCAATTCAAACGACTCAAATTGGAAACAGAAGTTTTGCTGAAGGGAGAATCCCAATTTGCTTAAATTGCGAGTTTCCCCCCTCAAAATGTAATTGAAAAACAATTGGGCCTTCAATTGAAATGTATTCAATTAATTTGCTGCCGCTTAATCAAAATGTCTGTTGAAAACTGTATACAATAATTTTATCTATCAGAAATTATGCGATTTTTATCTCAGTCATTTGGGCATTTTGCTTAAATGGAAAATTAATATGAATAAATTTCAATTTATTTAATTAAAATATTCTACGCCACTGAAAATGTCTGCTGAAAGCCTGATGGTCATAAAATTATTTCTCATTTTAATCATGATACGTTCTATGGCCACGTCCCTTAAACCTCTCAGATAAGAAAGCTTATCACTAATTTTGTCAGCCCATCATGATCACCCCATTTTCAAGTTGTTTCGAAGATTAGATAATACCACGCACATGGCTCATCTCACACTTAATTTATTTGATCTTCCAACGCTGCGGAGAGAAGCGCGGAGGGCACGAAAAACAAAACACAAACATACGTACATACAATTAGCCCTAAGAATGATGCTATTTGGGTTACTTGACTATGTATACTGGATAGTGATTACATACATATTTGGGAGTGAAGTGAAGTGAGTGGAGTATATGGGTATATAGCATTGTCTTCTAACGCTAATGCCTAAAAATGTGGCTACTTGACCTATATGCTGCTGCTCCTCATTTTTTTTAGTCCTGTTTCTTTTGTGCGGCTGTCTTTTTGGTCGCTGGCGCTGTTGCTTTTGCAGATTCAGGAGCTTCGATGGCGCCATTTGGAGTCTGTCCCTCCAATTTCTTGGTCGCACTTTGCTGCTCCATCTCACCGGAGAAGCCGAATTCATTAACACGCTTGAGATCAACGCGATATTGCCAACGTTGGTAAAGGAACACAAAGAAGATGATGTCGTCGCGGAAGCAGCCCAGCCGATACATTGTAGGCATCTTGATGACAAAAGCAAAGATGTCATCGATGAAGGTGTTGAGGAACTTGTAGGTCATCATACGCCACGGCATGTGGGCCACCGACTTGAGCTTGTAGTTGATGAACAGCTGCGGCGTCATCAGGATGAAGCCGAAGGTGAGCAGGTAGCCGTAGAGCATGTTAAGCACAAACGAGTACCAGCCCTTGTGCTCGTTGTAGATCAGGGAGTAGACAAAGTAGGCCACCAGCAGCGGGAAGCAGGCCCAGCCCAGGTACTTGAAGGCCAGCTTGTCGTAGTCTTTGGTGGAGCTCTCCGAATAGGAGCCCTTATCCTGGAAACTGATGCGCGGCAGCACGCCCAAGATCTTCTGATCGTGGTCATAGTTAATGTCCACCACTTTGTGTATCTTCCACACTTCAATGCCGAGACCCACAACGCAGGAAATGCGTATCATAAAGTTGGTCTCGTTGTCCAGCACGTAAAGCAGAATAATCAGCGATTGGAAGACGCCAAAGAAGACGGATCTAACCGACAATCCTTCCAGGGATTTCCGATTGTTCCAGAACTGAATGTCATTCTTGAAAGCCAGCAGCTCGAAGACCGAATGGAGTATGGAAACAGCCACTGTAATGCCCAGCAAATATATATTGGTATCCAGCAGAGTTTCCTTAAGCGAATCCTGATCCTCGTCACTCTCCTCCGGTTGACTGGCGGCCATCAGCTCACCCAGCATATTGCCAGCCCACTTGTTCTTCATCTGCTTGGCGGCATACAGCTGCCACTTGAACATGCCCAGTGGTTGGAAAGTTAAATGCAGCTCCAGTTCGGGAGTGGTTTCATTAATGGGCTGATATTCCCTTTGCAAGTTCCAATAGTCGTTGACAAAGACAATGGGCAGATAGGTCTTGCCACCGTCCACAAACTTGACATACTCATCGAGTGGAGGCGGCACTGAACCCTGTGCCCAGTTGGTTTGGTCTACAACCAGATTGACAGTGAGGTTGGGATGCCAGTGCGAGACAATGGTGTCTTTGAGATTCGCATGTTTCAGCTCATGCTCCAGCTTTTCCTTTTCGCTGGCCAGCAGATTGTAGTTGCGATTGACCCGCAGTTTCTTGAACTTGTTCAACTGATGCTGCTGATGGCCCATGTGTCCATTGGTGGCATAGTTGGGTGACTGAGGATCAGGACTCATTCCCGTGCGGGTGACGAACGCATGAAGGTACACACTGCCATTGTTCATCAAATGCTGGCTGGTTTTTAGTTTCAAACTGTGTGTAAAGATGCCATCGCCATTGAGACCCGATGTCCAATCGCCATAGGTGAGATCCTCCTGCAGCCAAAGGAGATTCGCCTTCTGCTGGAAGTTGACCACATCGGGGTGCTCCGATAGCCAAACGTGGAGGTCAAAGTCCGTGCCGTTCTCAAAGTAATTCCAGGCAGTGATTTTGGGACCGGCATTTGCCACACTTTTGGAATCTTGAGTGGCGGCATCAGGAGCTGGTCGCCGGAAAAAGGAGCTCACAAAGTAGATGATTAGGGCGCGCAGGATAAGGGATTTGGTCATCGCAAAGAACGATTCCATGCGGGTGGGTTGGTTTTGGGGTGGCTGCTGCTGCTGCTCCTGATTTTGACCTTCATTTTGGGCCAGCTCACCGTTCCCGTTGCCAGCGATTACCTAGCAGAAAAAAAACGGAGCAATTATATGGTTTTGGGGCAAAGGTCAATGTCCGCAATTGCTTACCGCTCCCTCAGCAGCGGGCTGATCCTCGCCTGCTTTCGACATGCTCCGATTTTTATTGGCAATCCACGTTTTTCCCTTTTTTATCCCGTTTTCCGCACAACTTGTGCTCCAGTTTGCCCAAATGTTGAAAACAGTGTGACCGCGCGGCGGTAGAATGGATTAACCATCCGGCTAATTGAAATAAACTTTTTACACTTTGCCCTGCTTACACATGTTTTCCACTAGAATTATTTATACCTAGATTATAAGAAACACTTGTTTTTACTTTATATTAAGCATTGTAATTTTTACACTTCAAACTGTTCAAACTGTTAAAAACCAAAAAATTAAAACAAGACTTACAATAAATTAATTCACTTATATTATTAAGTTGCAATATTAACAAGAATATTACATTTTTAAAACAAAAATCATATCAATTTAAATTTGTTTGATTGCTTTGATTTTTTGTTTTACCCATAGGGCTATTTTACAGGTTGAACAATTAAATATTTTAAAGAAATTTACTATTAAAAAGAGCCAGCTTAAACTAATTTTTATATTTTATATGAAAAGAAATCTATTTTGCAAGGCATTTTTAAATATAAAATATTTGGGTTCAAATTGCTACAATTGTATTTACAAAATTTAAATGACTTACGTTTTAGAAACTATATATTGGCAATTAATGTTAATGTACTTCTTGATGTTTTTTTTTGTTTTTGTTTATACTAATTAAATACTTTAAAATATTATAAAAATAAAAGTTGGTATTTATTTTAATACCAGTTTGGTATATTGACAGTGCCAAGCGGCGGTCACACTTTCTTTTCTCTTGTGAATAGCATTTGGTTGCACGTTTCTTCTGGTGAGTTGTTAAAAATATTGCAAAAATAAGCGAAAAAACCTAAAAGCGTGGCAGAAAGTCAAGTGTTTTACGTTCAGTGAAATGTTTGTGAGATGGGAAATGTGAAATATGCGGTTAAATCACTTGTGGAGCAGTTTCTTTTAGGAGAAACTGGCCCGCAGGTCGGACCTAACCTCCAAGTTCCGCCCGCTTTTTGGAAGCACCAAGTTTTCTTGGTAAAACCCACTTGATTTAGGAATAATTTGGATCTCATACCTTTACAGTGAAGCCGCCACCATGCAGATCTTTGTGAAAACCCTCACCGGCAAGACCATCACCTTGGAGGTGGAGCCTTCCGACACCATCGAGAATGTGAAGGCTAAGATTCAGGACAAGGAGGGCATTCCCCCAGATCAGCAGCGTCTGATCTTCGCCGGCAAGCAGCTGGAGGATGGTCGCACCCTGTCGGACTACAACATCCAGAAGGAGTCGACCCTCCATCTGGTGCTCCGCCTGCGCGGTGGCATCATCGAGCCCTCCCTGAGGATTCTGGCCCAGAAGTACAACTGCGACAAGATGATCTGCCGCAAGTGCTACGCTCGTCTGCATCCTCGTGCCACCAATTGCCGCAAGAAGAAGTGCGGACACACCAACAACCTGCGCCCCAAGAAGAAGTTGAAGTAGATGATCAATCTACTCATCTATCCAAGCTGGTCTATCTATCGACACGAAATCCATGGTTAACCATCTAAGTAAATATATGTACATTTTGTGAAAACAACCACACACATCAGCTCCTTTAAAATGTATATTGCATTTGCTACACCAAGGCTTCAAACAGCTTATTTATACCGTGTATGTTTTCTGTTTACCCCTAATGAATATCGGTTTTTGTTGTGGTCAGAACGAGTTTGTGCAGCTCTTATACTCTGCAATTAGTTGGTTTCTCTCCAAGATTCCAGCTCTATTTCTGGTTCTGTTTTGCTACCAGGAAGCGGTTCGGCCACCGCAGGTAATTGATATTCCATCTGCCAGCGACGATATATAAAGAAGACCCTTGCGGTTTGGTCTTTCCCAGGCAAACGCTCCAGATGGAACTGGAGTACATTCGATGTGCCACGGATGGATAAGTGCAGCAGACCTACTTGGCCAAGTCCACTTCGAGTACAGTTAATTGGTTTCATTGACCGCCGCGAGAGGCGAGCACTTTTCCAGCGAAACGGCTTCCGTTGGTTGCCATTTGCAAAAAACAGGTTGTTGTTCTTCTGGCACTTGGTCGTTGGCCCCTTTGCAGCTTTGTTTTTATGAATCTCTTAATAACCAAAGGGCCAAGCCTACCTGGTGACGACGACCCAAAGGGTTCCTCCTGATAGACAAAACCTGATGGCAAGTGGGAAATCTGAGAAGAGCAGCTGCCGGAGGACAAGGCCCACAAATTGCGGTCAACATTAATTAAAAATACGGTTTGGAATGACCTAAGGCAAGTGGGTGGTGAATGGTGGGTTTTTTTTGGCAAAAGACAGCAAATGATGAGACAGCGGATAGAGTACAATGCAAAAAAAGTTGATGGCTGGCACCAAGCAAAATCAACGTAAAAGATGTCAGCAAAGGTGGCTTGCTGAGCTGCCCAGAGGTGCGGAATGCAGTGGCTCTAAAACTGCTGACTAGTATGGTATTACCCTGGAAAACGTGAGTAAGATATTTGTTTTTGTAAATATTTTAAGCTCTGTCATGAAATCATTTTACTCTATGCTAGAAAAAACCCCTTAAGTTATTAATGATTTGGCTATGATTAAAATAATAATGATAACTAAAAGTCTGATAGACAATATTACCATGGAAATATATTATTATAATATATATACAATATATAATATATATGTATGAATACTATGAATATACATATTTATATTTCCATATATACATATATATATTTCCAAGGAAATATTTTATTTTATGCCAGAAATATCAATAACTTAACCCAAATTTTTGTGAAATTTGGCTAAGCGTCATAGTTATATTCAATTAAATCGTATTACTTTTCATAGTAATACAATAAATTTAAATATCGTGAATTTAAATAAAAAATTTCTTCAGTTAAAAATATAAAATAAATAATATGAATATCTAGTCTAGAGAAAACTCGCTTTGGGTTTGGAATACTTACCTGTACTTGTTGAGCCAAGGTAGTAATTTGTAACATTATTAATTTTTTTAAATATTCCAAATATTTCCCAATTACTGACGCCCTAAAACGAAACCAAAATAAAATTTTATAAAATCTAGAATAAATCATATTTTTTTTAAACGAGGAATTTGTTAATAACGTCTTCTTAATAGTATTTAATTACGAAATAATGTTTTTAATATATCTTTCACAAAATTGTATTAGTTTATCATTAAAAGGCATTTCCTTCTGCCGAAAATGTATCCACTGTGGCCATCTACTCGTACACTATTAAAAGGTGTTATTTCGGGCAACTGAGGGCGAAGTGTTTTAAAAATTAAGGCTCTGCTTTTTGGAGCTCCAGGACAAGCGCCTGCTTATTTATGGGTCCCGAGTCCTCTGCCTTTAGGCCTCGGACTTGGAAAATCCCAAACAGGTTCCGGCTCCGCCCTCCGTTTCCATTTCCACTGCCCAACACACTGATAAAAAATGATGTAGTGTAAATTAATATCTAACTACGAAATCCAAAAAATATATATATTTTATCCATAAATTATACATAAAATCATATTGCTAAACATAAGCTTATAAAATTGTTTAAACTAATGAGGAAACTTTATTTAAGTTTAAAATGTTTTAATTTCGCTTTTCAATTATTTAAGTTTAATAATTATTTTTTATTTTGATTTATAAAAGTCTAAATTAAAAGTAATTTTGTTTTTTATTTTAAGAGATATTTAACAAGACTTTAAAAATATTTTGAACAAGGCTTAGAAAAAGTCAGGGCTAATGTATGAAAATCAAAGAAAGATATTTAAATTGATTATGAAATACTTAAGCTTACAGCGTTATTTTTTTTTTACCAGTGTACAAGTGCGTGGCTTTTGTTTTTAATTTTTCGCAAGGCACGAGGGTTTCCAAGTTTCGGGCTTTGTCTTTTGGGGCGCCGCCTTCGCCATTCTTCGAAAGGCGACTTTTATGGCCCGGTCGCAGTTTACATAACAGATGTGACCAGAATAATTAAGAGTGCGATTCGAGAGTGACCCCCGATTGTCCCCATCCGTGATGTCTCCTCTGGTCAGTCACTGGTTTGACACTCTTAACGTTCTGGGCGTTGCTTCTGGCGAGCATTAATATTGCAGGGCAGTACAGTAACTCCCCCTTCGAAAAGCCTTGTCGCCACCCATCACCCAGCACCCATCTCTCACCATCTCTCACCATCCCCACCCTCACCCCCACCCACTTTGCAGCGAAAAGTGCTCATTGAAAATTGAACGTTTTCCGAGTCTCCCTCTGCGGCTTTCTCGTATTTCCATATGCTGGCGTGGATTGCGTGAGTTATGACCGCCGCTTATGCTACAAAGTCAACTTCTGATTGCCTGGATAGTTTCCCTTCTTGTATCCCTCGCTCCGCGGAGGAAAGTAAGTCCGCCTTTAAGTTCCTCTAAAATATGCACTTCGCCGCATGAAATTCGAATTGAGATCAGGACGAGAGGGGTACACACGGAACAAAATATGAGTTAAATAAACCAATAAATAGTTAAAATTGGCCCAGCCTATAACGAAATAGGTAACTGCCATGAAAATAGATGTCTAGTCAATGATACTCTAAAAAAGGAAGAGCAACATTTTTGGACTTAATATCAACATTTACTGAATGTTAAAAAGATTACTAGCCTGACACACAAATTTACCAAAGAGATACAAATTCGAGGAATGTCATTTAAAATAGTTAATCCACAACTTGGAATAGTATTTTTTTAAACAGAAAAATAAATTAAATAATTTAAACATTGTAATCTATTTTAATCGCTGTAATACTATTTAAAGCCCAAAAATAACTGAAAAAAATATAGTTTTCATATTATTAAAGGCGCATCAAAGAAAACCATAATATAAATAGTTTTGATACTTTTTTAATGAATATAACACTATTCAATGGCCCAACATATTAGACAATTTCTTATTAAATGACATTTTGTAAACAGTAAATGTAAAAATGTTTCGAAGTTGATTTTAAGTATTTTTTTTTTGAGTGTGGAATTTGGCTTAGGATAGGTGGGAACGGTGGGCAAAGCGCATAAATGGATTTTTTTTCGAGTCGGAAAGAAGAATTTTCAATTTGAAATAAATTTCTAGCTGGGC